GAAGAATTGCTCTATTTTCCCAAGAAGAACGAGTCATGAATGAGTGAAGAATAGGTGAAAGCTAAGATCTAGCTTTTCCTGAAGGGATGTCTAAGGCTGAGAACTGCTAGGCTAGATACAATTTTTAGATGCGTCCCCAAATTTGGGATGGGGGGGACCTGAGACTCCTTCAGGGAAGCAGGGGAGAGAGTTCAGAAGACCAAGGGAACATATTAGAAAACACAATTATAGATTAAAGCAGTTAAGCAGTAACCCATCAGGGTTCAGTAAGTGAAATTAGGCATCACACCACCCACTGTGCAGGGGCATCAGTCAGTCCTCAATGGATCCTTCTGTCCTACAGTAGGATTTGGCTGGAGCGTGCTGATGCTCCAGCTGGGGCTAAAACCCAGAAGTTACTACATAGAGGATCATACCCATCTGCTCAGGGTCAGACAGACTGCCACATTTAGGATCAGGAAGGAATTTTATCCCATGGTCAGTTTGGCATTAACTGTGGTGTTTTTTACCTTTCTCTTTCAGGAGGCATGTCTCTCTTATTTGGACATCTCAAATGTACTTTAATAACACCTGCAGTAGTGGCAAGACATGGACAGTGCCTCATCTTCCTGCTCTACCTGTGGCAAGTTAGGGTGTTCTTGGTGTTTTGGGGCAATATCCCTTGTGTCCTAGCTGCCTGCAGAGGGTTTGGGATTGAGAATGTGGTCCAAGGGTAGAAAGGTAAGAAAGGTTTATTGACTTAACAAAAACACAACTACGCGTAGTATACTAAGACAGATAATGACAGACGATAATAATTCGCATCGGCAACTTATCGGCAGTCCCCTCTGATGCCCGATGTACGACAAGTTTCTCTTTCCACAAAGCTCAGCAAAGTCAGGCGTCCCTGATCAGTGCTGTCCGAGAGGTACCGGGAGGGACCCTGGTATTCAGTCCTTGGGCTCCTCCAGATCCAAGGGCCCACTGAATCCAGGCCAACAGCTAATCTGTAGTTCATTTCACAGAGCTGTATCTTCCTTCTAAATGATTTCTGGATGTGCCAGCCAATTTATAACTTCTGAGCTGTGAGATAACGTACAACTATTCAGATTCTTTTTACTTCAACTGTCCTTAGACTGACCAATAGCAGTACAAGCCTTGCATTCTTCTGATAAGGCTAATTTTAACTATGCCACAGGGCCTACCATCACTACTTCTATAAGGCTTTGCTAAATTTACTAGGCCTCATACTACGTACAAGGCCTCACTACATCTTAGACTTTAATTAGGCTCTTAGCAACAACATATAGCTTAATATCTGAACAAATGATAGAAAAACACTTGGTCTAATCTTCATAGAGCCTTCAGCAAGCACCTTTATCTCACAGACATAATTTTCAGCTGTTACACCCTTGTAGTTGTGCAACAGGGTAGTTTTGCGTAGTTTTAGGCAGAGGATGGACAGGCATGAAATGACAGGTCTGGGACCATTTGGGCAGGGATGATCCTGCCCTGATCAGGGAGCTGAACTAGATAATCACCTGAAGTGCCTTCCAGCCCTAC